GGGAGGAGGGAGGAGGGAGGAGGGAGGAGGGAGGAGGGAGGAGGTGACAAGGAGAGAATGTTGAAACGAAGGGGAGTCCTGGTTCAGGGAGGGCTAGGGGTTGTTCTAGGATTAGAAGGCCAGATTTGCTGATATAGCATAATCTTCTAGATTTATTTTTACATACTAATCGTCATCATCATTAGCATCATCAAAAAAAAAAAAAAAAGAATCCATATTTACTGACGTCAATCATTATCATCACCACCCTCATCAGATATGTCACCTGTTGGGGACTAAAAGAAAAAAAAAAGAAAAAAAAAAGAAAAAAAAAAAAAGAAACGAAGGGGAGTCTGAGAAAGCTCTAGTGTAGTGTTTATAGGAAAGCGCTACGAATAGAACGCCCGGTAATTATCGCCGAATCTGGGCAGAAAGTTGTGCCAAATATAGCTATAATGACCGGGCATTCTATTCGGGTGGTGAAGACGGTAGTGTTTTTGCAGAGTCGTTTTTGTTCAGGTGCTTTTATGCTCAAATCAATGCCTTAAGGTAGAGGGTTGGGGAACGGGAGGCCTGTCTGTCTACATCATCTGGGAAGTCTATTCTAAGGGGTAGTACCAGTCCACATGTCTGAAACAAGAGAGGATAGTATACTGACCAAAAGTCGGAATCAGATACAGACACAGAATTCCACTCCAATTCGGACTAAGCTCGCCCTGAAGTAGCCACGGGACTTAGGTATAGTACCACCTTTCCCAAACTGTAATCTACGGAAACATCTTAGGCTACTGGTAGGTCCACCTGCTAGAATATAGTCTTTACAGGTTGGTCCTGCAAGCTGTTGACATTTCAATCACTGGTCTGCGCCCGTCTGCCTAAACAATCCATTCATGATGTATCTAAGGGACGCTGGACCCCTTTTCCAGCAGGTGCTGCTGCCCACCAATAGATGGAGCCTCCCCGACGGTGCTAGTGGTGTCTGCTCTTACCGGCATCCCTAGCATCGAATCGGGTTGTTTTTATTAAAAAAAAAAAAAAAAAAAAAGACACCATTTACTGTCATGAGTGAGTGGGGCCAAGCATACATGCCACAATTCGAACACCATGATTTTCTTTGTCATGTCTTGCTACACTAGACCGCACTTGGGGGGCTATAATTGCACTTCTCTAGCACAAACCTACTCTTGATATGGATCATATTCGTGCTCCAAGCCCCTAGTGCAGAAGCCTCCTATAATCATTGACTAGGTCTTTGTACGTTAACCTAAGAGAAATATCAGGCAGTACGCGGGCATCATGATGGTCACATTGTGGTGGATTGGTCTGCTGGGGTTGACCATGCACTCATGTCTGAGCTGCACTGCAGTGGATGTTTTACGTGATGGGTTCAATTCTCACTCTACGGTCTCTACCCGTTCAGTAGAGCACGTGTTGAGTACTGCGGAATGCAACGAAGGAGGTGGTGACGACTGACACCCTGGTCTGGCAGACTCGGAGTATGAATTTGGAGCCCCAGTCTACCGGACAGCTGGGCAGGTCGGGGGCCATTGTGGATAGGTTCAAGTTCGGATTGGCCGATGACAGATGATTTGTGTCTCTGATTCCACAGACGTGGGCCCATGTCTTTTTTTCCTTCCATTTTTTTCCAAGGAAAAGTCAGGTTGTGTATAGCAGCCTGCAGCAGGGGGCTCCCCTTCTGCGTGTGTTCATGCGGCTTGTTTTCCAGTCAGAGGTAACAGTTCGAGGGGTAGAAGTGAGGGGTCATATTTCAGAGACAAGGCATGATCATGGACTGCAAGGGGAAAAAGACAGAATCATGACATTAACATTGCAAACAGCTTTTCTGACAACAGGTTCCATTGAGTTCAGAGAATACAGGCCGAACGGGGACCCAAAAAAAAAAAAAAAAAAAATCAGAAAAAAGATATGTTATGAAGAAACATAAATTAAACAAGATTTGCCTGAGCATTACATTAAAATTCCTTACCAAATTTGAAATAAAAATAAAATACGGAGAATTAATACTAATAATAAAAATATAACAAAAAACAAAAAAAGAATTAAACTTAGTGAGTGCGCGAGCACATTTCCGACACCACCATCTTTGGCGATTTTTTATTTCTTTTGGCATAGCTAAAAACTGAAAATTCACAGATGTGTACGTCACATCATGCAAAAATCCACTAAAAAAGTTTCAAAAACTAATAAAATTATTGAGACCCCGAACTAAAGTGAAAACAAAAAGTAAAAAGTGAAACAAAATGTGGGCGAGCACGTTTTGATGCCGCCATTTTTGGCGACTTTTTATTCTTATGTGGCTTAGCCAAATGACTTGAAAATTTATAGGCATGTACCTCACGTCGTAGAGACCTCACAAAAAGAAAATTCAGAAAAAAAACATTATTTTTAGGCCCTGAAATAATTTTTGGCGTGGGCCGAATGCTGCCGGGTTCGGATCCCGTCCGGGACCCCAAACGCCCGTTCGTACGGAGATCGGCCCGGGGACCTCCGTACGTACGGGCTGGTGACCCTGTATATATATATATGCATGGTTGCCAAGCCGAATGTACAGAGGCCCCTTAGCTGACTCCCGAAGGTTCGGACCTTCGGGTCCCTGTACGGGGCCCGAACCTGAAGGGGTTTGGACCCCGCAAAACAATATTTTGGCACATAAATATTATTATTTTTTTCTGAATTTTTTTTGTGAGGTCTTTGTGATGTAAGGTATCTCCCTTTTAATTTTGAAGCTCATCTGTGCGGCCAAAAGAACATGAAAAATCGGCAAAGATGGTGGTGTCAAAACTTGCTTGCCC